TTTTAAGAAAGGCTTTTCTCCTCCTAGTGAATTTTCTCTTACTCTTCTAAATTCTTGTGAATTAAAATATAGTACTATACTAAATAATTGTAACACAACTCAAGTACTTTCTTTTATATATTTGCTTAATCTAACATTTGCTAATTTGATTAAACCTTAATACATAAATACATTACTTAAATGCAAATCTCTATGTATTATTTCTTCATTATATAAATAATTTATCACACTTGATAATTGAAATGCTAATCTGTATTTCTTTTACCATTTAAGATTTATAAATTTCTTTGTTAAATATTTATGAAGTATACCATTTTCTGTATATTTTAATGCTAATAAATATTTATTACCTAAATATATATATATATATATATATATATATATATTAGCCAAAGTTGATATATAACAAACATTTTAACTTATTATTATAAATAAAAGAAGAAAAGTTTATTATCTGTTTCAATTTTATTATTACATAGAAATATATTATATAATCATAAAAATCTACTTCTCAATGTAAAAAAAAATTTTCTTTTGATACAACTTCATTAAAAAATTTTCAACCACAACATATACATTAGAGTTTTGCAATTTGATTTGATTTGAATCAATAGTAAACTATCTCCAAAGCTTTAGAAATGGCTCTTATTAAGAAAACCATAGTAAAAAGCATCTCTGCAATTTCAGAAATACCTTTTTTACTAAGAAAACCATAGCAAATAATTACCTTTGCAGCTTCAGAAATTTCTTTTAATAATATATCACTTTTAAAAATTTTTTTTTTTTACAATTACAAGAAGTTTCGTCTTAAAAAGTTACTTATTTTAAGATCTTCTTAAAAGTTGAAAAGAAAGTATGATTTTGACAGTTAAAATAAATATAATTTTATATGAGAAAAAATAATTTCTTAGAATGTAAAGGTAATTATTCAAATAGTTTTTGTAAACTATCAAATGGTCATTTTATTCTACAAATTTGTGATCCTCAAAGTATATGGTTTGTACACATTCTATGAAATTCATTTCCAGAATTGAACTGATAAATCCTATAGTAAATTAATACCATAATCTGCCTTGGCTAGAAGCTGAACTAGGTTCTATTGTAGTGTAACCTATAATAGGATCTCAGTTGTTATCAACTAAGATAGGGCTGCCAGTCGCTTGTCAAAATTATTTCAACTATTGGAGGTGAAAAGTCGAAATGGTCAAAATGATATTATATCACATGATTTTTTTATATATAGAAAAAATAAAAAAATAAAAGATGTATGATCTCAGTCAATATCGCTTTGATTCATATGATACAACTACCATTCGATTCCTTCACCCTCTTTCTTGTTGGATCATTTCCAAGAATTTTTACTTAAAAAAGTGCTCGTTCAACAGTGGCTGCGGCTTAGCCTGCAAATAAAACAAAAAACACCACCTTTTAAAAATATTTCTCTCTTTGTTTCCCACACCCTTATTCACATAAAATTTTTCGAAATAGTTTAAACAGTATTGTTTTTTGTTAAAATATTTTTTTCTTCACCTTTTTTCAAAAAAATTTTTTCTGTTTTTCTGTTTTTCTTTTTTGTTTACTAAAAAGTGTGCATCAAGGGGGTATCTTAACTGACAATCATAATCGACATACTTTGGATTAAACAAATCTCATATAATGACACCTTTCTCCTTCCTAAATAATATACTCTCTTTTGATTAGCCTCTGCCTTATTGCAGATCCTCTGTCATCAAAGGTCACATGCAAATTTAGCATAATTTTCTATATAGTGTGGTGAAGCTTGCTTCCAGAATAATCCTAATCCCCTGGGTTGGTTATCACCTGAAAAACTGTTGATTCTTTCCTTGCTTTAGCTAGCTGACTTAGTTTGGTTGATAGTAATCCAAAGTGATTTCACTCTTAAATCCTTTCTCGCTTACTTTTTGTGAATGTAGTTTAATTTTGTAGTAGATTTCTTGTGATATTTTTTCTGTACCTATGAACCTATAAGAATAAAGAGCTTCTGTTTAGACCTCTTTTTTGGACGCATCCTCTTTAGCCAAGTAGTTATTATATCTGGAATTAACTGGACATTTAGATTCTTATAGAGTTGTATTTCTTTTTTCTTTTTAATAATTTCTATTTATACTTATTTTCTTTCTTAGAAGGGGTTGTTAATGTGTTTAATTTTTTATATAGAAGTTGGGATCGAATGGCATTTAGAAATTACGTTACTGTATTAATAATCTCATTTGAATTTCTTGTTAATGACTTGATCATTAAATATGGATTTTTGGTTGGGTTGAAGGGGGATTCCAGTGATCAGTCGATCTAAACGGGTTTGAGCTTTTATTAGCAATAGGACTATAGAAGATAGTTATTAGTTTAGCCTTTTATCTACTTTGTAATTTTTCTTTGTAAATTTTATCTAGTATACAATATAAAATTAACAAACTTATGGCAGTATTGCATCATTAAAAGTCAAAAAATAACCATTCGATTACTCGCAATTAGATGAATTCAATGAGATAACATTTATTGATTTCAAATTATCCAATCTCAAGATAATCGCAATTGTATTATCAGCCAAAATTATGAATCAATAAATTCTACTTTAAATAAAGAAGTCCAGATTTCGAAATATGATCGCAAATATCTCAAGATGAGCTAATCTAAAATCAATAATTGTTAGCTCATTGGATTCGTCTAGTCATGAAAAATCGAATGGTAGTTGTTTCATATGAATCAGTGAGATATTGATCAAGATCATACTTTTTTTTTTTTGTTTTTTCTATATATAAAAAATCATGTGATATGACATAATTTTGACCATTTCGATTTTCATTTTGACTTTGACTTCCAAAGTTGAAACATTTCAACTTTTGGGTTTTCATTTCGACTTCATGTATAATCAGAAACCTATTCAAGAGAAAATCACTCAAAAGGAATAATTTCAGAAGAATTTTAATTATAAAGAAAAACCTGATTATAAAGAGGAATCTAATAATGAAAAAGAATCTAATTATAAAAGGAATCTGATAAAAATAATATTAATAATGAAAGTGAAAGTAATAAAAAGAAGAGAATTAAAGGAGTAAAAATCTAATATTTTTCAAGTACTACAAATTGAAAATAATAATAATAATAAATAGAAATACGTAGATTTCAATTTTTTTATTTATTTTTTATATAAAATATATATATTATTATTATTATTTATAAATTAATTAATAAATACTGAATAAATTAGTAAAATTTCAAATATATTTAAACTTATATAAATTGTATCATTCAGAATATTTTATATTAATAAAAACTTTTTTATTATAATTAATTAAAATTACTTATTAGTATAAAATATTATTACTAGTATTAAATAAATTTGATAAAATGTTATCAATAGAAATATACTATTTATATAATATTAATTTAATAAGTATCAATAAAAATATTCTATTGATAACTTAGAGATGAATTGATTAGAAACTATATATTAATAAATTAATATTAATAAGAATAGTCCTATTGATATCTTTATAATATCCTGATTGGATCCTTAATATTTTTTATCTACATTATTATTTATCATCAATCAGAATCATCTGATACTAAACTAAAATAAGAAACCAATTAAGGCAAATCTGGTAACTCAGATTTGATCTGATTGGTTCCCTATTTGTTATCGTTCAACAAGTATATATTAGTCAGAAAAATTTTCAATACATGATAAAAATAAATAAAAATTAATCACATGATTAATTTACTAATGAAATAATGCTGAACAAAGTCATGTAAGATGAAAAATCTTGTTATAATACTAGGTTAAATTAGATAACCATCTTATCCAAGATTTTTCACCTCTCATGTGATTTAGCAAATTATTATGATATTTGTCATTCTGTATTACACCTTTCACTTTTCTATTTTTACTAAGTATTCTAAAGATTTGAAATTTTTTTTCAGAATAACTTCATATTTTTTATACCTTATTTATTATATAGTCAATTTACTAATGCAATTAATTACCTTAAGAGAATTCCAAAATATTCTGCTATCATGAACATCTTATCAATCATTTTCTAAATTGAAAATATAACTTTATGATTTTTGATATAGCCTGACACAAATTTTATATAACTTTCAAAATTATATTTTTTTAATTTATTTTTGCCTGTTCTGCAAGTTCACTTAGAACAAAAAAGATGATTTTAATATTATTTTATAAATAATTAATTTTCTAAAAAATGGCGTTTAAAACCTTCTTTAGAATCCTAATCAAACTTGTAGAGCAGGCAAAAATACAATATAAAATGCGATTTTACTGTACAGTATAATTTATATTAAGTTATATTCAAAAAATAAAAAAAATTAAAAATTTCGTTAAATTTATGCTATACATATTAGGAAATGATCGATAAAATTATCGTCGATAGTTGAATTTTCTGGGTAGTTTACTAATGCCGTAATGCCGGCCAAAGTCACGTGGAAGTGAAAATTCTTGTGGCGACCAATTGAATTTTAAGCAAAAAAATCGCTAACTTAAATTGACAACCGAAATTGTCACGTAATCTTTAATTTTCAATCCGATCACTGTAATCTACTAATCACAAACTATGATTGGCGCAGTAATCTTATAAACTTGAGGTGCCGGGTTAATTAGCACTTTTTAGATTATAATAAAGAAAAAAAAAATTTTTTTATTTGTATATAAATATTCTCAGAGAAATAAAAATTTTATTTGTGTTTGTTTAATCAAATTCTCAGGCATAGCAGAAGGAAAAAAAGACTTAATTATATATGCATATTAAATAACATAAAAACGAAAAATATACAGTAAGATAATAAATAACATAATCAATAAGGAGGAACGATGAAACATCATACAAGATTTGCTACAAGATACGAAAAAAAAGATAACAATATTATTTAAAACTTGATACACCATCAATTATCTCTGAGATATTTTTGTCATCTTCGCATAGGTCGAACAAATCTTTTCTTGGTTTGTGTCTTTATTATTGTCAACCATCATAATTAATATATAGGTTAAAATCGACCTCTTCTTCAAATGCATCATAAAAGTAAGAGGTTTGTGTTACATCAATCATTTCGGAAGAATCTTCGAACTCATTAGCGATTGGTACATTATCATTAATATGTTGAACTTCAGATTCTTCAGTTTGGACTAATTCCATTTTGGTTTGTACAAGTCTTATTTCAGTTTTTGTAATAGGAGTTTTGTTCACAAACGCAAAAGTTCCGTGTTGTTCAAAGGATTTTGTCGTTAGATTGTTTCTACCTGAAGCGATTTCCTTATCTACTGCATCTTTTGCAGCTGCATGATAATGTTTTCTTTTTTGGTAATCGTTTTTTTCTCCCATTTTGGATGCATAGGATCGAATCCCTCTTTACGAAAGAATAAATATGCCTAGTCATGTTTTTGGCAGACAACGAAAAAAAATCGTATTGGTGATGTTTACGTGAATGACCGATACAAGTTTAAAAAAAATTCTCTTTTTGTTCCTTCATTACTAATAAAGTTTGAAATTATTCAAAAAAACCAGAACACACCTTGAGTATTTATAATTTCATAATTTATCAACATTACAAAATAAAATGAATATAGAACTCAAAATCATTTCTAGATCGAAAGATACATTTTTAAAACGCATTGTAAAAAAGCGAATAGAAAGTTTTGTTTACTTTTAACCCTTATTCATTTAAAGAGGTTCGAAACAAATCGATACTTCTAAAGAAAATGTTATCGTCGGAATTTTGATCTCCATTTATACCATATATTTTGGTTTGCCGCCAAAATCCGTCAAGTAGGTATTTTGTTGATCGATCTATTTAAAGACAACCTATTAACATTATTTCTAAAAATATAATGGCTATTTAACTTATTGACAAAATTTAATTGTTTAAAAAACTTACCATTGTCATCTCGATTAACAATCGTAGTTACATCTTTCATACATTATATCCAAAAATATTATATGCTTTATTTAATATACTAGATAAATACAATTGTAATTTCTGAATCGGTTAAATTACTCAAAAAGAAACTAACACAGCTTCGAAAATCATTTTATCGATGGGATCACTAGGCATTATAAAATTATGCATTGTGTTATTTAATGTCCGACGGTATTGGCTCGATCAGTATCGCCACAAAATTTTTCACCTCCACCTAAAAATGGATTAATGTCCTATTAAAATTATATATGATCTGCGTTATGTAACCATTTGATAGCAAACTAAATATGGGAAAATTAAAAATTTTAGCCAATCAGATTCCAAACTTCAAGTTTGTCACATCAGACCGACCTTAATTTCGATTTTTTTTTATAAAAATAAAAATTCCATCTTATCATCTCCGAGTTTTTAAATTTACATGTTAACATAAATTTTGCCAGAATAACAAATTTATTTAATGTCAAGAAAGTTTATGTACCCGGTTTTTTCTTTTTTTTGGTTCAAACCAAGATCGTCAACACGTCACGTATTTTAAATAGAAAATCGATCAAAACTGTTGTGACCGTTTGCTCCTTTTGACAATTTTAAAATAATGGCGGGTGCCGAAAATAAAATAAGTTAGTAGATTTTCTAAATAGGAAAAAATTGCTTTAAAGGATACATTACTTCATTAAATCTGCTAATAAGGAACTTTACTTTAGGCTTAATTACATAAGACTTTGAAATAAGATTGTTCAGTTCTTTCCACAATAATCAGAAAGTTCCACGAGGTGATTTCCGAAAATGCGAGCGAAGTTTTAAACCATATTTGGATTTCTTACAAACTATCAATGATATTTTTACCAGACATGTTAAAGAAGGGACTTTAAAAATATTTAACATTAATCAATGATGCATCATTGTTGAAGGTAGTGCTCCGAGCCGGTCGAATCGACCCGGGTCATTCGACCCGACTCGAGAAAAAATTCGAGTCGGTACTATCATTT